ACTCCGCCCAATGGCTCACTTCGATGCATATAAATAATATAAAACAACATCCTAAAAAATGGGATATAGAAAGGGATTTAAAGAAACTGGGGAATATAGGGATACAAAATACGACGAGGCTGGAATGGTAGCTACCAATACCACACAACGTCTTGCCTAATGGCTCGGCATATAAGCCTACGGGTCTAACCAAGGCGTGTTCCTAGAACATCCAACCAAGGCACCTCTCCCATCCATATACACCTGAGACTTCCTAGTGTGCTCCTATCCTGATCACACACCACGACCCTAGGTCAACTGGAACTCCCTCTCGGAGACCTATCCAGTGGAAGTCCGAAACGCCCGAAGGCAAAATTGTCTACTAGCCAGAGACTCGGTACCTATGTACCAACATACATACTAAATGCATGATCATGCTGTTCTACATTACTTATATACATTTCTTACCATCACCCTCAACGGGCATGGTGGAACACACAAGGGGATCAAGCCCCAGTACCAAGAGGTTACCTTAATAAGCCTCTTCACTTAGCTCCAAAGCAGTATATTCTCCGAGCTCGTTACTCACAGAAATGCCTACACAGAGGACATTCCCAATTACTTAAAACTCATACGAACACATGCAAGTTAACAATTATACAAGCATGATTCCAATCAGTTACCTCAATCCCACTTGGTCCAGGACCAAGGGCAATCCACCGACTCACGGTTCGGGGTTCAAATCAACATACGACAACCTACAACAGCCATGTACGAATGATCAGTACACGACAATTCTATCAGAACACGAAAAATGTCAGAAACCTCCCCTACACCTTGTAGGTTCGGCCAAACATGTGTTAATTCACATTTTATTTTTCTAAATTTTCTTTCTCATTTTCATAGGCATCCTTGGGTTGCCGAAAGGCCATATCAAGTGTCGTTTTTCATTTTACGTCTTTTAAACGTCTTTTTGCTTAATATTTTGCTCTATGTCCAATTAAACACTCAACACTTTTTTGGAAATATTTCATCGGTTCATCGCTTCGCGATTAGTACGATTCGAGGCGGGTCCAGGATTAAGTCTTTAAATCCCTCCCAAAGGTGGTACTTCTAACCACCACACAACCCATCTAATTACCATTTAATTACACAATACATCAGCCAAATAATTTTTCAACATAAATCTCTCACTTTTCCTTAAAAGGCCGAATTGCACTAAGGCAATTCCCAAGAGATTTTCAATCCAATTTCATTATTCCACATCTCATACAATCATATTATATCATCATACAACTACACAACAACTCCCAAAACACTTCTAACAACAATCCAAAAACCTAAAGTCATAACAACTTCAAAATTTCCTAAGTTAAATCACATTTTTCATCAATAATTTTTATTGCAATTATAGCTCTAACACATCATTCTAAGACATTATCATCTAATACACATTTTTCATTTGAGCTCTCTAACAACAGAAATCATCAAATCCAAGTCTAGGGTTCATGAATTATGATCTACCAAATTAACCAACAAAAGGTGTTGAATCTTACCCACAATCAAGTCACAAGACTCCTCCAATTGATCCTCAAACAATAGCTTGAGCAAACAACCACAAAACTCCAACTTTCTCCCAAAATTCATTGCTTTCCAGGCCAGTTTTCTCACAAATGAGACGGCTTCAAGGCTAATGGATACCACCAATGAGTTTGGAAGGTTGTTTCCAACAAATTCAACACAAAATTCGCTTGATTTGGCTAAGTATTGATGAAGTTAGAGAGGAAAGAAAAACTCAAGGGTGTGTGTCCATAGGGGGGCTGTCCGCGGTTTGCAAGAAGGGGGGAGAGAGAAGATGATGAATAGGTCCTTTTGCCATGTGGTCATCTTGTCACTTAAGTGGGGTGGGCCCCACCGCCACCTCACGCGTTTCAAACTTATTCGAATTTCCCTCTGATTCCACTAAACGTCCATAAATTCACAACTATTTAGAAAGTCCAATTTTTAACATTAACCATTGCCCTTTAGTTACACTTGATCAGATGAATCCGGAGTTTTCCGGTCGTTCGAAGAAAATGTTGTTTTAAGCTGTTGCGCGCGTCGTAGGCACGCTTCCCCAAACTTACTCGTTTTCATCAAATTTTATCAGAAATCATATTTTCTAGTTCTATAAACCATTTATAACTTGTATTCAAAACCTAGAGCTCAAAACTCAATCGGTATGCTTTACAGTGCAATTGTACCGCAATATTTTTACCCGGTAAAACACTATTCACTGAATTTTCTGAAACTTGCCTAACCACTCAATTTTTCGTTCTGAATTTATTTCCAGGGTTGTTTCTATCATCTGAGACCTTCTACTCAATTTTTATCTTCCTTGGGTTGCGTGTTGGCTAATTACCGTTTTGCCCTTTCTTGGTATTTTGGCCTTATTTCCAGGATTTTCCCTAATCCTTCCATTTAATTCTCATTTAATATTTTAATATTTGATTTAGAATTCTGAGGTGTTATAGTGATCCTGACAATTACAAGTCTCCTTGCATGAAGAACAGACATTGTTCAAAGAAATTTCCCAAGAAGTTCTGCTCTCGTACTTTTATTGATGATGATGGATTTCCTCATTACAAGAGAAGAAATGATGGGAGTGTTGTCAAAAAGAACGACGTTGAACTAGATAACTGTTATGTTGTGAAGTATAATGCAAAACTTCTTTTAAAATATCAAGCTCATATAAACGTTGAATATACTTGTCAGAGCAATGCTATTAAATATCTTTGTAAAAATATTAATAAAAGGCAAGACAGAGTGACAACTGCTATACATCATTCAGATGATGAAATCAAAATGTTTTCTGATTTCAGATTGTTGAATTCATCTCGGTTATGTTTTCCTTTAATTACCTAGAATAACCTTTTTGTAGCTTATTTTAACTTTATTACTTATATATGATAGGTATGTTTCTTGATGGGACGGAAATCCGTGCCCATCTAAGCCCATTTTGATGGCAAAACACCATTCGTTCACTCACCTAATGAGCAACTTTAGCACTAAAAACACATGTTTTATATCTTTATCACAAAAACACAGTGGGAAACGGAAGGTGACGTAATCTTTGGAAAATATATAAAAAGGGGAACAGATTTAGGGCATTAAATACACCTGTTTCACTCATTCAATCTTTCTGACCACTTTTCAGGAAACGGTGAAAAGAAGTTTCCAATTAAGCACAAGTGGGCAACACTCAACCAAGGAGAAAGGTGCACAACAGGGAATAAACGGTTCCTATTGGCCGAAAAGGAAATCAAGGCATGAGAGGTTCAGAAGGAAAGATAAATCTCAGCAAAAACTATCCTATCCAGCCACGTGCGCCCCACAAAGCACTGTTCACACTGCCTCTTTCATGCAGTCAAGAAACCGACTCTAAGGGATTTACAAGTTTTCCATTCACTCTTCTACCTATAAATAAGACGTTCCAGCACGAAGACATCCATCGAATTCCTAAGGGATTGAATTCCTTAAGAAGAGATCACTTAGTTTATTTTCGTAGTTTTTAGTTGTACAGTTTTAACTTTAGTTAAGTGACAACACTTCTTCTTCTTTCTGTATCACCCACTTGAGACTCATCACGAGCAAGAACCATCTTCTCCACTTTTCATTTTGTTGTAATCAATTTGTTTTCATTTAAATACAAGTGCTATTTCTCTCATTTTCACTCGTTATCTTTGAACTGAATCTCGGGTCTATGGGACTTCAGTTTGGAATAATTATGTTTAAACTAGTAGCTATGGGCTAAATTATCTGTGGAATGGAAAAACTGCAAAGTTCTTAAAAAGTTATTTTCGAAACTCTTGTATTACAGTTTTTGTGTTTCTCTGGTTAAGTGTGCTATCCTCATTGTGTATCTTTGGAAATCGAACACATACTGAGAAAGGATCTTCCATAAGGAAGGGATTTCAGAAAGCTTAACCAGAGGGGGAAGGCAGTACTGTGGAAACAGTAGCGCTGGTTGCCTTAGGAATAAGGGACCACCTCGTTCATTTTAAGGTTCTGCACTAAGTACCTGTTAGAGTCAAGGGAGCCATAGGAATATGGAAACTTGTGAGCCATCTAGTCCATAAGCTGAGGAATCAGACGTTAGCAGAAAGGAAACTGGAACAAATACTTAAGTGTTGGGTCCTGAGTAGAGAAAATAATTATTTATGAATGGAATAGTGGATCCGTTTTTTCTGTTATTATTGTTTTTAAAACCATCCACCATGTTGTCTCTTGATTATTGTTATTACTTTTTGTTTTATTTTCTTCTTTGTTTAATCTTGTATCTATAAACTCTCATGAATATTGTTGCTCCTTCCCTAAACAAGAAGGTTGACATACATAACGAAGCGATGAACTGTTTGCTGTCTGATTGAACCTACTGTCCTTGAGGAACGTTGTCAAGACAGTAGGGAACGTTTGACCAAACAGGTCAATTACTAACTTTTCTTTTCATTCTCATTCTTTATAAATAGTATAAGACATTAATTAGAGTTCTATCCTCGTGGGAACGATAATCTGGGCATAATACTCCCATTTATTTCTTGATGCGTGCACTTACGCACTTGGGTTGAACTAAGAAAACACTTGTGTTCTTTCTTAGTAAACTGAAGAACGTTTTCATCATACTATATTTTTACCCAACAGCTTTTGCAACCCAACATATCCGCATGTGAAGCTTCTTGGAGAATATTCGGATTTGAAATTCATTACAGTTCCCCCGGTTCAGAGATTGCCATTTCACCTACCCAATGAAAAAAACATTGTTTTTAGTGATAGTGCTTCAATATTTGATGTCAAGACTAGGGCAGAGTCTAGACAATCAATTTTCGAGTCTTGGATGGATGCAAATAAATAATATCCAGAAGGTAGGCATCTTACTTATACAGAGTATCCAACTCAATTTGTTTACAAAGAAAATACGCATGAATGGCATCCCAGAAAACAAGGATCTTCAATTGGAAGAATAAATCATTTTTCTGCCAATAATGGAGAAGATTCCTATCTTCGCAGGTTACTTAATTTTCAAAAGGGTTGTACAAGTTACGAAGATTTGAGAACTGTCAATGGTGTGCCTTTTCCTACATTTAAGGATGCTTGATATTCTCTCGGACATTTGGATGATGACAATGAGTACATTGATGCAATTAAGGAGGCAAGTTCCTGGGGGTCGACAACTTATCTTAGGAATTTGTTTGCTTTATTGTTATTTGGGAACTCAATGAACAGACCTCAACATGTTTTCAAAAAATGTTGGGAATTACTATCTGACGATGTTTTTATCGGCATAGGAAAAGAATTGGGCGTGAAGGTAATTGTCCTGAACAAATTTTGTGCATTCTTTTGTGTCTATTATGCACTATAATTAAATTTTGTTCTGTTATGTATCATGCATTTGTTTATGCAAACCGTTTGCCTATGTTTATTTTATTATTAAGATTTTATTAATTGCTCCACCCTGTATATACGATTGCTCAACATCATTATTTCATTTGACCTTGGAAAAAATGAGTTTCTTTTTGTTCCTACCTAAAAAATTACATCTTTGTGTCATACATAATACTATTCATAATATTTGATTAAATTTTTTCGTTAACTTTCACACACTATGCTTTGTTCGTGAATTCGCTTTATTTTTCTTTCCTCACCAGCTTTGTTTTAGTTAATCATATTTTTTTTTGTATTTTTCTTTTTTCAGATGCTTTTCTTACAGATGAGTCTATAAAAAACATAACTCTTGCAGAAATTAATAAGGTGTTGTAAAGCAACGGTAAATGCCTATCTGATTACCCATCAATGTCGAGTATAATCGGTGAATCTTTATTGGATATGTAGAATAGATTGGTGATGGATGAATTGTTGTATGACAGTTTCTCTTTGAAAGAAGAGCATGAGAGACTAATGAATTCCCTCACTGATGAGCGGAGAGTTGTTTATGACAAAATAATTTTAGCTGTTTCAATAGGTAAAGGAGGATTTTTTTTTTCCTGTACGACTTTGGTGGTACTGGAAAAATGTTTATTTGGAATACCCTGTCAACATTTGATAGATCAAGATCTGAAATAGAGCTTAATGTTGCTTCTAGCGGAATTACTTCCCTTCTACTTCCAGGAGGACGTACGACACATTCTAGATGTTGTATTCCTATTCAAATCACTGAAGATTCAAAGTGTAATATAAAACAAAATTCTACTTTGGCAGAGTTTTTGTCAAAAACAAAGTTAATCATTTGGGATGAGGCCCCGATGGTACACAGATTTTGCTTTGAGGCTCTTGATAGAACACTTTAAGATTTTCTTAGATTTTATGATACCAGCTGTGTTGATATGCCCTTTGGTGGAAATGTTATCGTTCTAGGAAGTGACTTTCGGCAAATATTACCTGTCATTCCACATGGCAGTAGACAAGAGATAGTTGATGCAACAATCAATTCTTCGTATCTATGGTCCCATTGTCATTTGTTATCTTTGACCAAGAATATGCGTATGAATTCTGGAAGTAGCACTAATAATTTGTTGGAAATAAAAGAATTTTCTGAGTGGCTACTTAAAATAGGAGATGGTGATCTTGGAGATGATGTTGATGGAGAATCTATTATCACAATTCCAGATTAATTGTTGATGAAAAGGTCAGAAGATTCACTTTCCGAGATTGTTGATTTTGTCTAACCGAATCTGATGGATAATATTTTAGATCTGACGTTCTTTAAAGAACATGCTATTCTAACTCCTAAATTGTGTGATGTTGCCATGTTAAACGAGCACTTAATGGCTGTGATTCCTTGGTGAAGAAAGGAGATTTTTGAGTTCAGATAAGGTTTTCAAACAAGATGGTAATTCATCGCTTGAGGATGATGAAATCTCCCCTGAGATCTTAAATACATTCTCATGTTCGGGGATTCCTGATCATAAATTAACTTTGAAGGTTAAAGTTCCGGTTATCCTATTGAGAAATATTGATCAATCAAGAGGTTTATGCAACGGTACGAGATTACTTATTACAAAATTGGGGAATCATGTTGTTAAGGCAATTGTTCTTACAGGAAGCAATATAGGCGAAATTGTGTTAATCCCTAGAATGACGATGAGCCCATCAAGTCATACATTTTCAGTAAATTTCCAAAGAAGACAATTCCCCTTGGTAGTTTCGTTTGCGATGACTATCAACAAGAGTCAAGGACAATCGCTTTCTCATGTTGGTATTTATCTTCCTAGGCCTGTCTTCACTCATGGATAATTATATGTGGCACTATCTAGAGTAAAGAGCAGGCATATATTGAAGATGCTAATACTTGATGAAAATGGTTGTGTTACAAATACTACTTTTAACATAGTCTATAAGGAAGTATTTCAAAGTTTAGTGTAGTATACTTGGTTATTTCTATAAAGAGATAACATTGTTGTTTGGTATCAGGTAAGAACTCAATTTTTTTTAAGAAAATATTTTTTAATCTTCTTTGTTGCATTCCTGTTGTTGTTTTGCCTATTTTTCTTCTAATTTTTTATTATTATGCATAATCAGTATTCGAGGCACAATCAGTATTTTATTCACTAGTATTTTTGCAGAAACGGTGTTTCATTGTAATTCTGAATTATTTCATCTCCATAACACTATATAATTCCCTTGAATAATTTTTTCTTTTCATATTATTATTTATATATTGTTTATTATTCATTTCTAACAGGAGCAAATACCAAAAGTGCATGGCGGAAAATATTTTACAACTGTTGCGAGTATCGGTTGGTCATATTTCTTATTATATTGCTGTCAAGCATGACATTTAAATTTTTTTATGGAGATTTTGCGTGATTATCTTATTTATACTTAGAACATATTACAGATATCAAATATTAAGTTGCAAATCATTTGCCTAATTTTATTTTTTCAGTAAGTTTTCATTAATTGCTCCATCTTATATATTACACAACAAAAACAGTTTCTTGGAAAGTTTCATGATGTGTAGCGCTCTCCTTTAATTTCAGCTTTGTATATACCATTGTCGTGTTCACAATACCTGTTTTAATAAGCTATATATCTGAAAGCATAAACAATCAAGAACAAGTATCCCCTTCCTCGTATCGATGATCTGTTGGATCAACTTAAGGGTGCTTGTGTCTACTCGAAGATTGATTTCCGGTCCGAATGCCATCAGATTCGGGTTAAGCCAAAGGATGTCCCCAAGACCGTGTTTCGCTCGAGATACGGTCATTATAAATATTTGGTGATCTTGTTTGGACTCACCAATGCACCCGCAGTGTTCATGGATTACATGAACCGGATTTTCCAGCCATATTTGGCCATAAATGTAAAGGGAAGCTGTTTTGTTATATTTAGAGGGCACAGAGGAAGATTCTAAAGAGGACCAACCCCCAACCATTGACCAGGATGACTTACCCCAACCTGAACCTGTCCTCGAAATTAGCCTCAACTCACTGTTTGGTCATCAATCAGCACGTTCCTTTCGCCTAACAGGTTCTATCACTGGTAAACCCGTTCAAGTTTTAATAGACAGTGGCAGCACCCATAATTTTATTACAGCAAGAATGGCTACCCATCTATCTCTAGTAATGCAACAAATTAACCCTTTTGTGGTTCAAGTCGGTAACGGAGAAGGTCTCTCATGTACCGTTGCTTGCTATTCTATTCCATTATCCATGCAGTCCCATACATTTACCGTTGACCTCTATATCCTCGACTTAAAAAGAGCAGATATCGTTTTGGGTGTACAATGGCTATCCACTCTAGGACCAATAATAACTGATTATTCTTAGCTTACAATGTCTTTCCAAATTGCCAACACTCTAATTACTCTTCAAGGGGAAAACCAGCACCACCTTAATACGGTATCATCTTCTCAATTAAATCGAATGGATGCTGTCAAATCAGTCTCTGCTTGTTTTATGTGCCTCTCTACCCCACTATCACCTACTCAAACCCAAATCTCCCCTGACATACACCCTTTACCAACAATTCAAACCTTCTTAAATGAATTCCCAGATATCTTTGTCACTCCCACTTCCCTGCCTCCAGATCGCCCCACTAACCATAAAATCCATCTCCACCCAAATTCCAAACCAGTGCAAGTTAAACCATACTGTTACCCTCACTTCCAGAAAAATGAAATAGAAAAGATGGTAAAGGAACTTCTCCACTCCGGGTTTATCAAACCCAGCCAATCAGCTTATAGCTCCCCAATACTCCTAATTAAAAAAAGAAGGATGGCACTTGGAGATTTTGTGTTGATTACCGTGCCTTAAATGCAATCACCGTGCGTGACCATTTTCCCATACCAACCATAGACGAATTGCTAGATGAGTTATATGGGTCGACAGTTTTCTCAAAATTAGATCTATGATCTGGCTTCCACCAAATCCGCATGGTCCCCTCGGATATCCACAAGACTGCATTCTGCACACACGAAGGTCATTACGAATTCTTGGTTATGCCTTTTGGCCTATCCAATGCTCCTTCCACATTTCAAGCAACAATGAACCAAGTTTTTGCAAACTTCCTCCGTCGTTTTGTGGTCATATTCTTTGACGACATATTGGTGTACAAAACCTCATTGTCTGAACACTTAAACCACCTTCGATAGGTTTTTGGTACACTACGTACCCACTCATTGTATGCTAAGCGTTCAAAATGCTCTTTTGCCACTGATACCATACAATTCCTAGGTCATATTGTCACTGCTAATGGTGTTTCCCCTGACCCTTCCAAAGTACAGGCAACCACTGACTGGCCTATCCCCATAACAGTCACTCAAGTACGGGCATTTCTTGGTATCTCGGGTTATTACAGACGCTTTATAAGCAACTACGCTAAAATTGTTGCTCCTTTGACAGATCTTCTTTCATAGAAAGATTTTTCTTGTTCCACTACTGCGCAGACAGCATTTCAAGCCCTCATAGACAAACTGACCACAACTTCACTCCTTGCTTTACCAGATTTTTCAAAACCTTTTGAAATTGAAACAGATGCATCAGGTAGTGGTATAGGTGCAGTGCTATTGCAGAATGGTAAACAAATGGCTTACTATAGCCGCAAATTATCTCCACGAATGCAAGCCCAATCAACGTACGTACGCGAGATGTTTGCCATTACTAGCAGTGTTGCCAAGTGGCGACAATACCTGTTGGGGTCTCATTTCATCATCAGAACGGACCACAAAAGTCTACATCACCTGATGTCTCAGGTAATTCAAACCCCCGAGCAACAGAAGTTTTTAGCCAAGCTCATAGGGTACTCGTACTCTATTAAATTTAAATCCGGCAAAAGTAATATTGCTGCATATGCGCTATCTCGACTACAATATGGAGAGGAGGAGCCTCCAGTCCCTCTATTTGCAGCCCTCACAGGACCACTTTCTAACTATGCTATTGTCATACAGAAAGATGACAATGCAACGGGGATTATAGGGGAAATACAGTCATCCAAAAATAAAAATAGGGAATGGACAATGAAAAATGGGATACTATTCCACAAGGGTCGCATCTACATTCCTTCCCAGTCAACGTTGATCGAGCCGTTGCTCCAAGAGTTTCATTCATCGCCAGTTGGTGGTCATGCCGGTGTTAAACGTACTCTGGCTCGCATTTCCCATTCTTTTACCTGGAAATCAATGACGAAAGATGTTAAAGAGTTCATTCATATATGTGATATATGCCAAAGGACAAAGCCACAAACCACTTACCATTTGGCCTTTTATAACCGCTACCACCGCTAGAATCCATATGGTCTGATCTCACCATGGACTTCATCACTCATCTTCTTTCGTCCAAAGGTTCTATTGTGATTTTTGTTGTCGTTGATCGCCTCACTAAAGGTGCTCACTTTGTGCCTCTTCCTACGCATTTTTCAGCCGCTAAGGTTGCGTCTGCCTTCTGGGAGAATATTGGCAAGATGCACAGCCCACCAAAATCCATCATATCTGACCGAGACCCTATTTTCCCTAGTTCTTTCTGGAAGACGCTTTTTCAGCTACATGGAACAACATTGAGTTACAGTTCATCATACCACCCAGAGACAGACGGACAAACAGAACGTGTTAATAGAACATTAGAACAATACCTCCGTTCATTTGTTTTCGAAAATCCAAAATACTGGATACGATTTTTACCTTGGGCTGAATACCACTATAACACGGCTTTTCATCGATCCATTGGAACATCCCCTTTTCAAGCAACATTTGGCCGAACCCCACCTTGCTTGTTGTCGTACTCCATGAGCGTAACCTCCATTGAAGCCATCGATTCAGAGTTGTCCAGCAGATCCCATATACTCCAGTTACTAAAGGAAAATTTAAAAAAATCTCAGACTCATATGAAAAACCAAGCTGATCAAAAGAGGAAAGACTTTACCTTGAACGTCGGTGACATGGTTCTTCTACGCCTGCGCCCCTACCGCCAGCTGTCTGTCGCTCGACGTTCATCACAAAAACTTGCTCCTCGATTTTTTGGTCCGTTTGAAGTATTAGAGAAGGTTGGCTCTGTTGCTTACCGCCTCCGCCTGCCGTCGGGAAGTCGAGTCCATCCAGTATTCCATATTTCACTCATTCGTCCTTTTCATGCTGCTCGGACTTATCAGATCCATAACCTTCCTTGTTCCAATGAGA